GGTCGCGTAGCACAAGCAGGCACGTGCGGGAAGCAGACTAACAACGTGCGCGAATGGGAACCGGCGGCCGACGAACAATATGAAAAAAAAGCGCAGGCCACTTTGGCCGCATCAGTCAATGGGAAGCGAAGAACAGGAGGCTCGCCTGGTGCGCACGCGCTCCGGCCAATCAGCGTCCCGTAAGGGGGCTCCGGAAAAGGGGCAAGGGCAGCCGTTCTGTTTAAGCGACGCCATTTTGATGGGTGGCAAAATGCGCACAAAGGAATCAGCGTCAAAACGAGCCCATGATGGCGGCGATCGGTCAACTGCCTCGCCGGCGGCGCGCGCAGGAAGTTTGAACGAATTTGACCTGCCGTGGGTTGTTTTGCGGCTCCCGTGGCGACTTCATAATCAATTTACTGATCGAATTCAGCGTTCACAATTTGAGTACACGTGCTTATAGGTCTAAAAATTTCAAATATCGCATTTTCTCAAAATCGACTTTTTGGCCATTTTTCAGCATTCTAAGTCCCCACGTCCCCCCTTAAATCACTTAGGACTGCTTTCAGCTCCATCAAAGCTTCTGTCTGCGTTGTAACAGAACCCATCCTTTCAGTCAAGCTAGACTTCTTTTACAGAAGCAACGCTTTCCAGAAGTGGAACTAAAATTGTGAGCGTACATGAAAAACTAATTTTTTTAATTAAACTTGTTCATTTATAAAAATTTCCACTTATGAATGTTTTTTATTCTAAAAATACAAATGCAGATAAGCTATTGATTCTAGTTCAAGATATATAAATGCCTTTAGTTAACACGTGGAAATCTGTTTTATTATGCCCACTAGTTCCCGAGACACAGCAACCCCAAAAATATTCTTTCAGCAAAAATGCAGAAATAACTTGGGAGTATGCACTGTCATGATCGACCTCCCTGGCTTGGCACCGCTTAGATGCGCGAGACATTGCAGCTGAGCTTACCCTGGTTTCTTCTGGGTCAGTGCTCCCAGAAATGTGCCAAGAGCGGTAGCAACACGAAAGTTGTTCTTTGAACTATCCAGGGTTGTCGGCGCCTCTCGTAAAATCTTTTGGAAAAGCCTGACCCACTGATAGATTAGAAAGAGCTGTTGGCCGCCAAGGTGGCTTGCTTTGCACGTCAAGGTGCCCCAGACAATGAGCCAAGCGTATGAGATCCATCTGCGGGGACATTTTCCACGTACTCCGTGGTGCCTACATGGCGACAGTTTTCCACAAGCCGTGGCCTGCCCAGTGCCACTGCCCACATCAATGAGTCATCGCTGCACCTGAATACACAAGCCAGTCTGCACATAGGACCCAACGTCTTCACGCTGTTCTGTGTCGTGCATATTGTGTAGTGTTCTCTCGCTCACCATGGGACGAACTGCACGTGCCATTTCCCTCTTTCCTGGGTTGGGAAGGAGGTGGTGTTTCACCTTCCCCTTTTCGCGGCAAAAGTGAAGATGGCAATTTCATTGGACTGTCCTGGCCTCAATTGTTCTCCCTGCAGAGAATCTTGGGAAGACCAGGGCATAAAATGCGAGTGCCGAGACGCTCCCGACAAGCTCCAAGAAGCTCCGGTCAAGCTTCCATCGAGAGCTTCCATGATGTTACCCCCATCATGTAATCGCGCTAACTTAAGAATGTAAATTCTGTAAATAAACGTTTCTGCTGTCAGCTTCAGCTACTCTCTTCAACATCTCCCCGAGACTTTGGCTGGCTCTGGTCCATTGAGCAGACCCCCGACTGCATCATCACATATTACCGCATTTTTTCGCATGTAACCCGCATCAAAAATTGAAAAATATCGCCTGAAAAGTGGGGGTGCGGCTTATGTGCAAATAGTCCGGAAGCAGAGGCCGGCTTCACGGCAATGCATGGCCTTCCGTGCAATCCACATTCCCATCGGCATCGTCTGGTGTGGAGTCAATAAAAGCCAACACAGGCCATCGACAGATCCCCTCTGTAGCATGTTTATTCACTTTTTGCGTGCTTTGTTTGATTTCGTCAACAGCATCACAACAGCGATTTGACAGCGTCTTTTTCCGAGTCAAGTGTGGCCAGTTTGAACCGTTGGTCAGCCTTGTCTAGTGAGGCACTACGAGCGGGTCTCGGTGGCAATCTTTCACCGCGAAAAAAAGCTCAAAATTATCGTATTTTTGCTCGTATAACCCGCCCCTGCATATAATCCGCACCCCTACTTTCAGCTCACCGAGAAAGAAAAAAAAATCCTCGCCTATTGCCCGCACATTTGATATACAAGAAAGGCTGTACAAAAGCTACTGCTCAAGCAATATAGCACATATGTAGACAGAAAAAGCTTTATTTAGCAAGCAGAATACGCTGTCTGCAAGGCCAGTCTCAATTCACTCACTGTTGCTGCTCTCGCTAGAGCTATCACTTGAGCCGCAGTCGTCACTATTATGCACAAGGTCATCTTCGGATCCATCCACGTTTTTTGTGATGCAGCATTTCTTGAAACTTTTTCACACCATCTCGCCTGGAATGGCCTTCTATGCCTCGAAAATCCACTTGCAGAATAGGGCAATATCAGGCCTTTGGACTCGTCCTGTCGGCTTCAAGTCGTAGCAGCCTTCGGCCATCCACTCGCCGTAATAGCGCTTGACATGCGCTTTGAAGGGCTTGTTAAGCGAAACATCTAGAGGTTGCAACATTGACGTCATTCCACCGGGTATAACAACTAAGTCGGTGCCGTTGCGTGAAAGGCGGTCCTTCACTTCCTCAGTTGTGTGGCCGCGGAACGAGTCAAGAACGAGCATGGACCTCTTTGCGAGCATGGACCTCTTTGCGAGCATCGCACCGGGTCTCCTCGCCCATGCCGTCTTGATCCAGTCTACGAACAAGTCACTGTTCATCCACGCGTTCTCGTGTGCGTGCACCACCACACCGGCAGGCAAATGAACCTTTGGTAGAGTTTCCCTTTTCAAGATGACGTACGGTCGCAATTGCGTGCCGTCGGCGAGGGCACAAAGCAAGACTGTGATGCGCAGTTTCGTGTTCCCACCGGTCAGCACTCTCACCGAACTGCTGCCTATCTTCTCAATCGTTGTGTCCAACGGCATTTCAACATAAACAGGAGCTTCATCCGCATTGCCAATTTGCGAGAAAATGTAATTGTGCTGCTTTCGCAGGCCAATTACATATCTCTAGTACTTGAGCAGCTTCTCCTTATAAGAAGCCGGCAAGCGTTGACATATTGTAGTCCGCCATCTGATTGAGAGCCCTTGCTGCTTCATAAAGCGATGCAGCCAACCGCGGCTCGTACGGAACTCGTGAGGTACGCCTAGCTCCCTCGAAAGCCGCCGCGCTTTCACTTGGGCCATCTCGGTCGATACGGCGTGACCCCTGCTTCTCACATCTTCGATGAACTTTACTAGCTCCACCTCCAGCTCAGGGTAGGCACCGGTCTTGGGGCCACGAAATGACCTACGGTCGCGGTGCGCGGCTTGTAGGCTCTTTCTTCTTTCTCCACAGTCGCACACAGGACTCGTCCACATCGTGCCGTCTTCCCGCTTCACGATTTCCGAATTCCTTGGCGACGGCGATGATCTTAAGCTTTTGCTGTGCCATGAAGGCCTGCCGCCGTACGCTACTCATGGTGACCGAACAGATTGACTTAGGCTTGGCGAACGGGTCGAGATGTGGAGAACTAGCGGCATCAGCGAGGTAAAGAGCACTCACACTCGGCGACAACTTGACAGCACTACCCCTTGTAGTACACTGTAACAGCACCCTGGAAACAACAGAACCGAAATGCATGCCTGCTACCGCGTCAAAAAGTAGTACATTATTTTCTGATAATATCTCTATAGGCACTATAATATCTCATTTGCCTTGCTGAAATAAATACTGCTTTATTTATTATGGAACTTACTTTATTTATTATGGAGCTTTCTTAGACAGCACCACCTTTTTGCAAGCCCTTTCCAAAAGTAAACATGGCGTCCATGACGTAGGGACATGTGGAGGGTCACTGAGCGGCCGCGAACGTCCAAAAAATATACTTGTGGTGTGACAGTGAGATTTTACACTGAACAATGAAATTGTCTCTCCCCAAATTGTTTTTCTTAACGCTTCAACGATGCAAGCAAGCGAAATCAAAATCAGCCGCAAGCTGCCGTGCTACTTGCGGAGCAACACGAATTTGCGGAAACCACCTCCGTAGCCTTCGCTACACTGTTAAGGGGCTTCACAGCACAACACGCATTGCTGTGAAGCAGCACTATAAAAAAACACCGCGTATTATTCGCACCTCCACTTTGCCACTGAAAATTTTGGGTTTTTGGTGTGGCTTATACGCACGAAAATACGGTATAGCTGCTGCAGAAAAAATCGGCAGCAGAGCTTCTGCGAGGAGGCACGACGTCGACGAGTCCTGCATTCGCAACTGGCAAAAAACAAGGCCTCTCTCGAAAGTGTACGCAAGGACAAGCAAGCATTTCGCGGCCCGAAGACCCCCTTCTTGAGAGATGGCGCAAATGGAAGCCCTCAGATGGGCCCGTGAGATGAACATCTCATGCGAGTTTCGTGCGAGCCGTTGATGGCTGCAGCTTGTCAAATTTATTCAGGAGCGGAGGAGTCGTGACCACGCTGGGTCAACAGAGATGGTGCAAACGGAAGTGCTGAGATTGGCCCGCGAGATGGACATCTCATGCGAGAACTACCCTAAAACAACAAATTTTAAAAAAGTGTTAAAATTCAAGCTCTATAGCTTGTATAAATTCAGCCACTGTAGGTGAATGCTAAGCCCCCACAAGCAAACTAAGTTGTGCCTTAATATCAATAAAGCAAACAGATACACCTGCCTGAGGTTCAACATTATAGTACAACAAAAAAAATAATGAAGCAATAAAGCTTCCTACACTCGTACAATGGTGTGTGCATTTTATAAAATAACAAAAAACAGGAATAGCAAAATATTCAGCTTCATTATAAATAAAGATTATTGTCAAGCAACAAAGCATAGGAAATAAAAAGGTACTCACACAGCATTCGGTCCTGGAGATCCCGGGAAGGAGCTACCATGACTGGGCTCTTGGAGTGGCAGTTGAGCAGACCAGGGTCAGCTCCGTGTGCCAGTAGTAGTGAGCACACCTCAGCTCGACTCTTGGAGGCTGCTTCGTGCAGTGGTGTGAACTGCCACAGATCCATGGCATTCACATTGGCCCCGTGCTGCATTTATTTGCCACGCAATTTGCTTACTGAACCAAGAAGCTATTAATTGCATCAGACTCTGTCAGCCTTGACACTACTTAAGCACACAACCCCAAAATACAACAGAGCTGTATAGGGAAACGTACGCATCAACCCATGGAGGAAACGCCAGCATGCACAAGATGAAACGAGATCTTACAGCACTTTTCATAGAAAATTGCAGAGCAGCCATAACTGCTACTGCCATAGAAAGATTCTCTCAGTTGGCTTTTGGCAAGCAAACCTTCTCCGATGCTTATCCGAAACTTTCTCCATCCCTTTATATGAAGAGCACATTTGCAATTTCTTGACAGCACATTTTCACATCAACCCACTGCAGTGGTCTAGTGGGCTACGGTGCTTGACTCCCGGCACAGAGGTCACGAGATCTCAAATCCCCACAAATTCTGGAAGCCCGTGCGCTTAGATTCAGGTGCCAATTTCTGAGCAACTTGAGCCCCCGCATCTCATAATACTGTGGTTTTGGAATGTAAAATCCGAACAATTATTACATCATCATATCAGGGCACCTCATACCACACTTGCCATACATACTTGCAGAGAGGAAGCGGACAAGAGAAGGAAAGGAAGACGGCAATAATCGTAGTTCTTTTTCTTTCATTGTCTGCTTTCACACTTCTAGGCCGGTTTGATACCGGTGCCACACGGACACTTTTGAAAGGCCATCAAGTCGACGGTCGTCGAAATGTCACAGCTCCATCGACTCGATAAAGTTGTCGTGCTGCTATGCGGAAGTTTTCAAGGCCATTGAGTGGTTAAGGTATTTCTCGCTGAAGTTGAGTGGCGCTGCAAATCTTTATTTTCATTTTAATGTTATTGTAAGTGATATAATTATATGCACTTAAATGCGCACATGCATCTGTCATTTTTGTATGAACATTTCAATAAAGTGTTTATACATACTTAATAATGCATGGTTGGTTTTTAGGTTGTTAAGCAGCGAAACTGTGGCAATGCTGTCAGCGCATGAGCAGGAGCGGCTGCCATTTTGTGGCTATGTCTCAGCAGTGTGGTTTGTATTTGCACGTTTCAGAGGTCACTGCAACTTGCTTTGTAAGCTTCTGTCATCATGAGCAGCCACGGCTCAGAATTTTGAGATGAGAAGGCTGCAGTGGTTTTTTACATGGATGCGATCATGCAGCTTGACGCTGGCATTGAAGCAGCGAAGAAAGAAGCTGACGCCATTGAAGAAGAGCTGCTGCTGGTAAACAATTTGATAACGACCATGGAAACTGTGACTGAACGTAGCATAGACAAAGAAAGGTAATCTTTCTCTCACCAGACGCGTCGGTACAATGAGACCGTGCCACTGTATGGCGAGAAGTTTTTCAAACGGCAGTTCCGCATTACCAGGCAGTCCTCCCACAAGTCCATGAAGAACACCGTTTCTTGTTCACCCTAGAGTTGCTAGCGCAGCTTTTTCTTTATTGGCGGTGACGCATCATCCATTTCGCACAAAACGCACAAAATGAGCAATGACACAAAAAAAAAAACGCGTCCCAGAACTCACTGTCTCACACGGACACACCTAAAAACCAGGGCATAACTTAACACTGCGCGCAATATGACGGCGAAAACAGACAGGCGATAAAGGGCACGGGGACCCAGCATGTTGCTGTTGTCAAGAGTATGAGCTGCTCCTACAGTCCAAACTGCACAAATACCTTCATTGGATAATTTATAACACCCAAGCATGCTACCTTTAAAACATAATAGTGCAACTGTCCTTTTTCTTATTGGGGATTCGAGCACACTGGAAACGACAGTGCGCATTTCCTCTGTTTTCACTTCCGTTGCTTAATAGCTATCGAAACTTCAGCGAAGGTGTGGGGTGCTCCGTTGACTCGATGGCCTTCAAAATGGCCCGTGTAGCAACTCACCCTTTTCAGTTGAGTTGAAAGACCACCGGTTCAATGGCCTTCAAAACGCCCATGTGACACCGGTATTACACTCCATTTGTTCGACATAACATTTGTGCTGTCATGTAAAACAGTCAAGCCTACACTGGACAGTGCTGGGAACATTGGCAGAATTCTCACGTGCTAGGCCTGTAACGGTCAGCTTCAAAAACCTTTGTTTGCTTGCTATTTTTGTAACAACACATATGTACACAAACTGAAACACTGATCATCACCAAGAAAAGGGAGGAGGGTGATTCCATGCAAGATCGAACAAAGAATCACCACTTGACCTTTACATTTATTTCAAAATTTTGTATATTATTGGCTGATCAGTGGAAAATGCATACTAACTTTCGAAATGCAGACTACCTTTTGAAGCACAAGAAGCTCAGTGCACATAAATGAAATTTTTGTAGAGTTACCGATGCAACCCTTGATGCCGCAGTGCATCAAGGAATCCCCGCGTACAACACTGCTTTCTAATCATTCACTACCATGTCTCTTATAGCTAATTTGCAGTGTCACAAAATTATTACTCGATAAAAATCACGTGAGATTGAAAAGCCGTACGCGATCACAAATGTCATACAATCTTCAGATCTGCATGGTGCACTCAGTCTTGCGCATGGTCTTTATTCGACGGGCTGTAACTAAGTAAAACCACATTATGCAACATGTTTTGATTGATGGATAAAACTGATATGCAAAAGAACAAGTGGGAAAAACTTAAAAAATATCAAAAATCCTTTTATTACGTTGTCATCAGAATTTCCCACTGTATGTTGTTTTCTTGAAGCTAGCCCAATCGTATCTATTTATAAGTGTTATTGATATAAGCTTTGGCAGTTTGACTAACAAGCATGATGAGAAAGTAATGCAGATTTTAAGCAGCTCTGTTGTACACCCACTTTGAAATAAAGACCTAAAAAGAAGGCAAGGAAACGCATTATGGATAGAGTTTGTGATTTATAAAAAATATGTCCCCTACCCAGAAAAACCAACAATAACTGAACGCAAGCAAAAGAACATGCATATATTTAGGTAAACAAGTTTGAGGTACACAGCTTTAATACATTTTATGTAACTCATCACCAATGCCGGAAAAAAAAAAAACAACAGATAAGCGTGGCACTCCACCTTTTCATTACTATTGATTTCGGGTGCTTCGGAAATATTTTTTGCCAGCAAAACCAATTGCGGATCTCTTCTTTCTACTTATCAGACAACATTATATGAAATCTCAAAATAAATTTAAGAAATTGACCGACCATTTTTTGTTTGATCTTAAATAGAATCATGCAGGAGCTTATTAGACAGAATGTTAATTAGAACAGACAAGAATGCCAAGAGAAGTGTAAAGGATGTTATTAGAAGTATCTGCAATGTAATCTGTAATGTAAAGAAAAGAGGACACAAAGATAAATTGCCACTGGCAGGATCCCAACCTATGACCTTCCCGTGCTACGTGATGCCAACAGGCAAACAGACAAAAAAGGGTGTTCCCCACTTGCCGCAATGCTAACAGGTGGCACCGATTAATACTCCCATGTTTAAGGGCCCATATATACCCAAAAAGGGGGTGGCTGTGTGGGGTCTAAACATGACGCGACATGCTCTCGGAACGAACGGAGACTGAAGACGCGGTCGGGCCAAACCAATCAACACACATTTTATTTATTTATTTTATTTATTACATACTGCTGACCTGTTTACCAGGTCTTAAGCAGGAATGGGCATACAAAAATGTTTACTACAAAAACATAATTGACATCACACAGCATACTGGCAGTGGTTACAATTCAACACTTTTGTGTTGATTTACAAAAAACTAAAGAAAAATATTACAACAATGGCATAGCTTTGCTGACTGAAACGTACTAAAAAAATGGAAGCACTGTGCAACTCTGGGCTGCATGACTGTACAAAAAAAACTGTTAGTGGTTATTGAGAGTATGTAGAAATAAATCAACTGTTGGACACTGTAAAGCATCAGGTGATAGGCAATTCCACTCACGGGTAGTTCTAGGAAAAAATGAATACCTGAATGTGTCTGTGCGGTTTACGTAATCTAAAACTGTCTTTGAATGATGTGAGCGCACAGCATATTCACTTATTTGTCTAATGTGCACTGTTTTGTTGATACCAATTTTGTTGTAGAAAATGAGGTAAAAAGCTTCAGCCTCTCCATTCTTCTTCTCTCCTGTAGTTTTTTGAGATCCCCTTTAATTAGTAGAAGTGAAGGGGAAGTACGCTAACTATAACAATTAAAAACAAATCGGGCAGATTTTCTTTTGGACCATTTCTAATTTTTTAATATTGGACTCAGTAAAGGGATTCCACACTGCAGCTCCATATTCTAATACTGGTCTAATGAAAGTTTTGTACGCGAGAAGTTTGATGTGTGGTGTGGCATTCACAAGCCTCCTTCGCAAATAGCCAAGCTTTTTCATTGCCTTTCTTTCAATATATTCTATGTGTTCATTTCATTTTAAGTGTTATGTGAGTATGAGTCCTAAATATTTGTGTTTAGTGACTTCGGATAATGCATGGCCATTGACGTGATCACTGTAACTATAAATTTCCTGATATAGTATACAATCGTCCACAAAAAGCTTTATTTTTACGGGCAAGTTTAGCACAATGTCATTAATAAATAACAGAACAAACAACGGCCCCAAAATTGACCCTTGAGGCACACCCGATTTCACGGGGGCGGAACTCAAGGTGACACCATCAATGGAAACACATTGGCTCCTCATTGAAAGATAAGCAGTTATCCATGCAAGTAATTTCTCAATTTTCAGAATTGGTTTCAGCTTACTTAGTAATTTCTGGTAACTCACACGATCGAAAGCTTTCTCAAAATCCAACAATATAACATCTACTTGACCATTCTTATCGATCGCTGCTGCTAGGTCATGAAACGTCTCAATAAGCTGGGTTACCGTAGAATACTCTTTGCGAAAGCCATGCTGAAGGGGCGTAATTAGGTTATTTCTTTCGACAAACATATACAAATGTTTTAATAATATATGCTCTAGAATTTTCACACTAGTGCATAGCAAGGAGATAGGCCTAAATGAGGATACAAGCGAATGGTCATCATTTATTAAAGACGATTGTCTTTCTTGGGGACCTTCGAAGCAAAAATGTTTGTCTATCTGTCCATTTGTCTGTTTGTCCATCCTTAACGATACTGGGCACTTTAAATAGCACGAGAGGATTTCCCAAACGGCCAACCCCATCTGCAGCGCCCACCAATGTTGATCAAGATTAACGTTCATACTTGTGCGATTGTCAATTTAAAAATTGGCCCCGTATCTGCATGTAATCTGCAAACGTCGTCGAAAGATGATAATCTTGCGTGTGGAGAGAGTGAACAACTTATTTGATGTTCAGCGCAAGAAAATCGTGAATGGTATTCCGAAGGCGCTCGTTAGTGAGCCACGAGCGTGCAGCGGAAGCGAACGAGCGCATCAAGTCACACGTGAGACATGAGCGCCATCTGGCAGTTTGATTTGGAAAACAAAGCTCGTGACCCTGAGACAGGCGTGCACGCCCGTCTCAGAGGTGATAAGGTATAGAACGCAAGGCGACGGGTAGGTGCCACCACCGTGTCGTCTTAGCAAAGCGTTGGAAACACTCGATTCTTCATGCAAGCGTTGCATGGTCAGCGCAGCGTGATAAGTGCTACGGTCGTTAGAATTACTTATGTATGCCTTTTTAGTAAAAGACGAATATGCAGAATATATACGTGTTGTTATGGTGCCTCAGATATGCACAATAATTGCTTTTTAATTGACAATCGGACACGTATGAACGCTGATTCTTGAGCAACATTAGTGGGCACCGCGGATTGGGTCGGCCATTCGGGGTATCGACTGGTGCTGTTTAGAGTACCGGTTCGCGGTAACGGTGAACAGACAGACAAATGTACAGGCAGACAGACAGACAGACAGACAGAGACGGGCAGACCAAAGTTTTTGCGCCGAAGGTCCCCAAGAAAGACTATCATCTTTAAAAGCCATTATCGCGCATATCTGGGGCACCATAACAACACGTATATATTCTGTATTTGTGTATTTTACTAGAAAAGGCATACATAAGTTATTCTAAGGACCGAAGCGTTTATCACGCAGCGCTGACCATGCAACGCTTGCACGAAGAACCGAGTGTTTCCAACGCTTTGCTAAGATGACACGGTGGTGGAACCTACCCGTCGCCTTGCGTTCTACACCTTATCACCTCTGAGATGAGCGTGCACGCCCGCCACAAAGGCGCGCGTTTCGTTTTTCAAGATAACTGCCAGATAGCGCTCAAGTCTCACGTGTGACGTGACTTAGTGCGCTCGTTCGCCTCCTCTGCACGCTCGAGGCACTCTAACGCAGCGTCTCCAGAATACCATACACCGATTTTCTTGTGCAGAACATCAAATAAACGTTCATTTTAATTTCTCCAGCCACAAGACTAAGGTCTTTCGACGACATTTGCAGATTAACATGCAGATACGGGGCCAAATTTTTAACTGCTTTTACAATGACAATGTCGTCTGCCAAATTAAATACATCACAAGTAATCAACACGCTAAAACTACCTTACACATCATTGCATTACACTCAATCAACATGAGGACAAACGCGAGATAGCGTGAAGGCAGCGCAACATTCAACTCGCCACGAGGACCCATGGCAGACGACCTGCAGTGCCATCCACCACAGACCTGCCATGAGAGACCACCGTTTGTGCGAACCGCCAGGCCCCAAAGAGAAGCGCTCATTTCTCATGTGCCGCCACCCAGGCTTGCGGCCAGGCGTCAGTGCCGGTGCTACCGTGCTGGTGGTGGTAATAATGATGATGGTGTTGGTAATAAACGCTCGTGAACACAACGCCACTCATCGCTCGATAGTTTTGAACCCGAAACGTGACCTGTGCGCGAAGCACATGCGCCATGAGGTGCAAACGACCCCACAGGGGGTGTTAGCCAACCCACATAGGATGACCGCCACAGTACTTTAGTGGTAGGGCATCAGACGCATTATTCAAAGGTCGCAGGTTCGGATCCTGCTGGTTGCAAGTTATCTTTTCGTCCACTTTTCTTTCTTCACATTTTACATTACAATTAAGTATAATAACATGCCCTATACTTCTTTTGATGCAATTGTCTGTTAGTTCTCATGAATGCTGTGTCTAACAAAGGAACCGTATCCTTGAATTAACCCTTCTTTCATTCATCCAAGAGCTTATGTAAGGATCAGACAAGCTAGTGATAAGATCCCTGGTAGGGCCAGGAGAAAAGCTGCACATACCTTTATCAACATCTCAGTCACTTCAAAGTGACCGTAGGAACACGCATTGTGCAAGGGTACCAAGCCACTGAAAAAGAGAGTGCCATGTCAGTCAACAAACAGGGACACACTATACTGTACTAAAATTGTCTTCTTAATTAAGCACAAAGTTATCACATTCATACTTCCAAGTAAACCCCCCTTGCAGCATTACTGTGGCAGTCAACAAAATCAGATGTTAAACAATGTTACTACAACAATATGTGTGTGTGGTCAAACAATTATGCATCCAGTTGGTAATGACACAGAAGCTCACAGGCATAGACAAAGGTCATCTTTTACGAACTTTTCTTCTTTCTTGTCAGTTTACTGGTCATCGCCCCACTTCACTTCTAATGTTTTCTGCACCTAACGTGGTTTTTGCACTCCAAAAAGCTCGCAATACATACCTTAGCCAACTTCTTCGAACTCCACTGTTCGAAGAAGCTGGCTAGCGTGCGAGCTTTCTGGCGCTTGTACACATACTCCCATGGCATCAACCTAGACGGCGAGGACCTTCACACTGATCTGGCAACTTCAAACAGCAGGTCCATCCTACTGCTGAGGCTATTGAAGAGAGATGCCCTGGCACAGCATGGTTATGATGCTCAGACGGAAGATAATTCCAAAGATGCCCCCATCCTCCGGAAATGGGACCGAGCTTGTCTACTCTTACATAAAGAACCTAGGCCTCTGCAACACTTTCAAAATAAATCGAGTTTATGACGTCTACACAATTTCGTGCGGCGAACTCAAAAATCAAATCGAAAATTTGCATAAACAAACACAAATAACTTTATTTTGCCGAAAACAAGCAACAGGCGCCGCGGCCGTCACCACAAGTCTCGCCGCCGCTGTGATTTGTCGAAGCTCCATGACAATACACGCGGGACAGTGAGCACAACCGGTCCCTCAACACTGAGTGCACTTGCCGAAAGGCAATGCCGAATTTATCTGTTAAAATTGTTAAAATGGAGTAGTTGCCATTAATTAGGCAAACTGCAGAAGTCATAACGAGTTCGCTGTACATTTGTACATGTTCCAAGCCGTTCGCCAATGTAAAGGCAACGACTGATGACAATGTCGGCGTCAATGATGCGGCACAAGAAAGCGAGTCTCAACCAGCTACCTTCACCCACGTAGGAAACACGGCTGGTATGAAAGAGATGTATGTCAGTGCTTTACTTCACTGTAGTAAACTGATACAAATGATATTGTTACGAGGTTGGTTGCTTCTGAGCGAGATGTATTTGCAGAGTAAAAACTACAGGCAAGAGACACAATGGCTGATTGGCCCAGTCGCGCGCCTGTCAGTCGCACCTCTTCCTTTTCTTCCTCTCCGTAGCAGGACCCCCGGGCGTTGGAGCGCCGTCTCGGCGAGAGTCCGGAGAAGTGCGACAGAAGTAGGGTTTCAAGCGCGAAACATGGACAATGTCAACTAGTGACGAACTTGGTGACGTATTGGAGTGCAATGGCGCTATCTCGTAGGTTACGTCGCTAACTTGACGTAAGACTAGGTAGGGTCCGGCGTATCGGGACAAAAGTTTTTCGGAGAGGCCTACACGGCGACACGGTGACCAGAGGAGCACGTGGTCACCTGGGGTAAACGTTATATTTCGATGCCGGTGGTCGTAGCGGGCTTTTTGCATATCCTGTGACCTGGTGAGGCGAGACTGGGCAACTTGACGAGCCATGTGAGCCCGATCAATGGCTTCGCGCGCGTACTCGGAAGGAGATGGCACGAGAGGCAAGGTGGTTTCAAATGGCAATATGGGGTCGCGACCATATAAAAGATAAAAAGGCGAGAATCCCGCAGTGTCATGTCGAGAGGAGTTATATGCGAAGGTCACATAGGCCAACGTTGTATCCCAGTCTCGATGATCATCGGAGACGTACATCGAAAGCATCTCTGTGAGCGTGCGGTTGAGACGTTCAGTTAGGCCATTAGTTTGTGGGTGGTAGGCGGTAGATAGCTTATGGGCTGTAGCACACGATCGAAGGAGGTCATCGACAACTTTGGACAGGAAAGAGCGGCCGCGGTCCGTAAGCAGCTGTCGGGGTGCACCATGGTGTAAGATGACGTCATGAAGAAGAAAATCCGCGACGTCAGTGGCGCAACTGGTTGGCATGGCCTTTGTTATCGCGTAACGGGTCGCATAATCTGTGGCGACGGCAATCCATTTATTTCCTAGTGTCGTCGTCGGAAAAGGGCCAAGAAGGTCGAGTCCCACGCGATGAAATGGTTCAGAGGGGACTTCAATTGGGTGAAGATATCCAGCTGGCAGCAAAGGTCTTTTCCGGCGCTGGCAGAGGTCGCAAGTGGCGACATATCGACGTACGCTGCGGTACAATCCAGGCCAGAAAAATCGACGTCGCACGCGGTCGTATGTGCGGGAAACGCCGAGGTGTCCCGCTGTTGGTGCGTCGTGAAGTTGTTGAAGTATGGCAGGCCGTAGATGACGAGGGATGACAAGCAGAAGCTCAGGGCCTTCAGTGGTGACGTTGCGGCGGTAGAGGATGCCGTCATGCAGCACGAACATACGGGATTCAGCGTCATGGCTGTCAGACTGGATGGCGTCGATGATAGTGCGCAATGACTCATCCCGTCGTTGTTCGATGCGCATATCGCTGACGTCTGTAAACGCCATTACTCTGCTCTCCAGGTCAGGCGCAACGGGATCAGGAGGATCTACCGGATATCGAGAAAGACAGTCTGCGTCCTTGTGCAAACGGCCAGACTTGTAGCTGACGCTAAACGAAAATTCCTGAAGCCTCAGAGCCCAGCGAGCCAGACGTCCAGTCGGGTCCTTCAGAGAAGTCAGCCAACAGAGGGCGTGGTGGTCCGTAACGACAGTGAAAATGCGACCATATAAATATGGCCGAAACTTGGCGACGGCCCAAACTAAAGCTAGACACTCTCTCTCGGTGATGGAATAATTCATCTCCTGGGGAGAAAGCAGGCGACTGGCGTAAGCTATCACGCACTGTCTACCGTGGTGCCGCTGAGCGAGAACTGCGCCGATACCGTGGCCACTGGCGTCGGTGCGAACCTCTGTGGCAGCAGAAGGATTAAAGTGGGCAAGTATGGGGGGCGTAGTTAGGTAGCCGATGAGAGCGGCGAACGCTTGAGCCTGCTCAGGGCCCCATGAGAATGTGGTATCCTTCTTCAGCAAATCTGTCAGTGGCCGGGCAACGTCAGCGAAGTTTTTCACAAAACGGCGAAAGTAGGAACATAAGCCGACGAAGCTACGGACGTCGGATGTAGAACGGGGCACTGGAAAGCTACGGACGACGCGGATCTTTTCGGGATCTGGTTGGACACCATCGGCGTTTACAATATGGCCCAGAATGGCAATCTGACGGTGACCAAATTGACACTTCTTGGAATTGAGTTGTAGCCCAGCTGTTCTGAAGACTGCGAGAATTGCAGCGAGACGGGTCAGGTGGCTATCGAAAGTAGATGAAAAGACTATCACATCGTCTAGGTAACAAAGACAAGTAGACCACTTGTAACCACGCAGGAGAGAGTCCATCATTCGTTCGAATGTGGCAGGGGCGTTACATAGTCCAAAAGGCATGACCTTAAACTGGTATAAACCATCTGGTGTAATGAAGGCCGTCTTCTCGCGGTCCATTTCATCGACAGAAATCTGCCAGTAGCCGGACCGGAGATCTATAGACGAGAAGTATGTAGCCCCGTGTAGGCAGTCCAACGCGTCATCGATGCGTGGTAGCGGGTACACGTCTTTTCGTGTGATCTTGTTTAGGTGGCGATAGTCAACGCAGAAGCGCCATGTACCATCTTTTTTCTTCACAAGGACGACAGGGGAGGCCCAAGGACTACTTGATGGTTCTATGACACCTTTGTTGAGCATTTTGTCCACTTCTGCTTGGATAACTCTACGCTCAGTGGGGGAGACACGATAGGGGCGTCGGCGAATAGGACTGGCGTCACCAGTATTTATACGGTGCTGAACAGTGGATGTTTGCCCTAGAGGTCTGTCGTCGAAAGAAAAAATGTCGGTATATGACGCGAGAAGGCGATGGATGTCATTGGCTTGCGCAGGGTTGAGGTCGGGTGCAATCATCTTCGAGAAACGATCTGGCCGAGAACAGGTGCTGTTCGCTACTGGAGACTGAAGTAAATCAATCTCGGTGGTGAGCGCTGCTATTTCGAATTCGTCAGCATTAGATACGCTGGCCAAGAACATGCCACGAGGAAGCACTTGAGGGCACAAGCTGAAATTGAGAAGTGGAAGCGAGGTACAATTGTCAGTAACAGTCACAAGCGTATGGGGAATGGCAATGTTGCGGCTCAAGAGGACGTCGGCGAGAGGAAGGAGGACATATTGACCATCGGGAACTTGGGGCTGTGCGGTCAAAACGACGAAGGTGGCTGCCTGAGCTGACAGCCGCACATCCTGAAGAGAGCACAGGCGCGGCGGGGCAGTGGGGGGGTCAGCGACTATCTGAGGCAACTCTAGCTGAAGAACGCCTGTAGCACAATCGATCAGAGCAGAATGATTCGACAAGAAGTCCAGGCCTAGGATAATGTCATAAGGGCAGTGGTCAATCACGGCTAAAATGACAGAAGTAGTGTGGTCCTTTATACGTAAGCGGGCAGTGCACAGACCGAGAACCATCGGCGTGCCGCCATCGGCCACACGGAGCATTTGTGCAGCCGCTGGTGTCAGAACTTTCTTTAAACGTGTGCGTAGGCTTGAACTCATGACCGAAATGCTTGCGCCGGTGTCGACAAGTGCTTGTACAGGTTCGCCGTCTACTTTAACGTCTATTACACTTCGTCTGGTGGGAACGGAAAGAGGATTTGCTGCGGAAGTCGTCAATGCAGCACCACCTCCGGGGGCTGCATTTCTCAGTTTTTCCGAGACAACGCGGCCGGAAGCCACGGGGACGAGAAGCGCCGTGGCTGCGGCGAACGGGACGATGGGCGACGTGTTTGCGGCGATCGAGACTGGTGCCCACGTGGTGAAGGCGAGCGGCTGTACCAAGTGTTCCGAGAATGGTCAATGGCATTGGGCTCTTCGG